CAAGACTCAAACGGTACAATCCTGGTTCAGTTTGAGATTATAATTAGCAGAGGTATGGTAATTAACATGGGGATGGTGATGCTGGCACTGAGCCACATTAGGGCACCTTGTGTGGTAAATGCTGAATGCAGACCTGGTGAGTTTTAGATTCTGCTCAGCTGTGATGGCGGACGATTTCTGCATGTCCTAGAGAGAATGGGAAAACACACAGAAACACCCCTGAAAAGCCTTCCCCTGACTGCCCAGAAATTAAATTAGGCTCAGCCTCCCCCCCCACCAATTACATCTTATCCCAGATGGCTTAATTCAACATGAACACTATGAATACTGATTAAGGTTTGATACATTGGGAATCAGTTTGTTTAATAGGGTGTTTCATTATATAATAAGATCTCACTTGTAATACAGTTTCTGTTCTATCTTTTTCTGAATGTGTACAGTACCTCCATATTTCTAGAGCTCCAATGTGTCTGACTGACAAACACAACTGAGCAAATACTGACAATCTCTAGCAGCCCAGATCTTCTGATATGGGGATATAACTCATATTATTCCCCCTGTTTGGTGTGGTGGAGAAACCTTTGTTGCAGAGCACCAGAAACTACCTGCTATCTAGCTTAGTTAATGATCACTCAGACTGAAACCTAGTGTATGAAGAGCAAACAACAGCTATCAAGAACATAGAGGGTCATGTGAGTGCTCTTTATAGAAACACCTAAAGGGTTTGGCCCAGCAGAAGATGTGACAAAGGTAATGGACTTTATTGCACTTCTATGGCTTTATTGCACTGTGTCATCATTACCATATGTTCTAACCTTCATTCCAGCTACAATCACATTTCATTCAAGGATAGTCATATAATCCTTAACTGTTTATTTGTCCTCCCGAAACATGAACGTTTTTCTCTTATGAACACGTTTTTCTCTAAATCAAGTCCAGGGGTATGACAGATCAACCTAGCTGAAGGGTTAGGAGTAAAGGTTGGATTGTATCTTCCAGCTTTGTATGAAATTCTTACCGATTTAATTGCTTACAGTGTCACCAGCAAGTTGTTTACGTTTCAGATTTGTTATTGGCACTGCTACTGTAGCTCTCGAGCAACGTGAAGTCTGCTGACGAAAGGACTTTGCTTTCAAAGATACAGATTGAGGAAAGCCACATTTAAGTCTTAAAATACGAAGCTTACAACGCCGTCTTCAAAGCAAGATGTTTTTTGAAAAAAAAAACCCCAACTAATTTCTGTTTTGTTCATGATTATTGTGGCCCGATTTCAGACTAGGCTGCGTGAGTCAGCATTTACAAGTACGGCCGAAGCAGCTGACCCAGCCCAAACTCACTCACTCACCCACTCCTCCACGTTGCGGCCCTCTGACTCCCCGGTTAAAGGTTTTTCCCAGTAGATGTTGGGTTTCCCGTAGCGCCAGATTTTCCCACGAGTCTTCTGGGCGAAGTAAGCAATGATACCTTCTGCAATGACAATCATGAACCCACAGACCATAGCCACAGCCTGGAGGGAAGAACAGCAATCAGAGCTTTATATATGTAGTCTCTTTCTGTGAAGAGAAGTATATCAGAGTGGCACAGTACAATCTGTTTTACAATGAAGGAATGGAGAGAAACACACCAGCACCTCAAAACACATGACAGTAAACAGTGCTCAGGTGGTGGAATATACACAGATATAGCCACACAAATTCAAACTAGGGCCAATTTTCCTAGAAGCCAATTATCCCACCAGTATGTCACTAGTCTGTGGGAGGAAACCGGAGCACCTGGAGGAAAGCCATGTGGACAAGGGGGGGAACATGCAAACTCCACGCAGACAGCATCCCAGGTCCAGCATTGAACCAGGGCCCCCAGCACTGTGAGGCAGCAATGCTAAACCATTGTGGCACTGTGCCCCCTCCACCCCGTTCCCTTTCTTCTTAATTAAAAAAGGCACCTTCAGAAGTTAAGAGGCTTAAAAATCCAGCATCGTGCTTTACCATCATATTCCCTAATATTCTTCCTCTTTACTCAGTTATCCTTAACCCCAGCCTTCGGCAAAGACACAAGCAGGTGGATAAGATCCCTTACCTCCTGTGCATCAACGTAACAGTAATGGTAGAGGTACTGGTTGTACATGCCCATGGTGGAATAACTTCCCATGCCAGTCCCATACATAGAGTTGCACATCATGAGCATGGGGTTGGAATAGACGCTGCTGGAGGTCTGGGCCATGGGGTTGATGCCCACGATGTAGACGATGCTAATGATGCCCTCCAGGATGGCCAGGAGGATGCTGATCACCAGCACCACCAGGTAGAACTTCCGGCTGCGCGAGGAGTCGGACTTGGAGAAGCTGGTCACGAAGATGGCCAGGGACGCGATGAAGGTGATGGCGGCCATGGCGATCATGGTGGTCTTGGCGGAGTACGGGGTGGGGTACGAGTTGTAGTAACTCATGCCGTAACCTCCAGTGCCATAGCCGTAACCACCCATGCCATACCCTCCCATGCCACCATAACCGCCCATGCCACCATAACCACCCATGCCACCATAACCACCCATGCCATAACCATACTGCATGTCCCAGACCAGGGTGGAGGCCACACAGGCGAAGATGGCGATGCACAGCAGCACGATCAGGCCTTCAAGGATTTTGATGATGCCCGGAGGGGAACGCCACTTATAGAAGTGCTGCGGCCGGGCTTCCATGTAATAGGAGCCGGGGGGCGGGGGGTAGGCATTGTACTCGCTGCCGGGGGGGTGAAAGCTCACCGGTGGGCCGAAGCCATTGGTGGAGGGGCTGTAGGGGGGGCTGTACATGGGTGGGCTGTCATAGCGCTGCCTGTCGTACATGCTTCAACAACAGCGAGGCCGATTCCTAAGAAAAAACGACAAGAAGGATAAACGGGGTGTAAGGACGCAAGGGAGTCCAGTGAAGGCTTGACGTGAGTTTCATCGCAATGAAAATGGCCACCTCTGGAGAACTCTGAAGGAGACACACACACACGGTCTATTTCCCACAGTGCCCTGAACTGCAACAGTGTAACAGAGGGTCTTGTAGTCTGAGTCCAGCCATGTTATTGTCAAAAATGGGGGTTCATAAGCGTGCATTCCTTTTATGGCCTAGTGGCTATTCCTGATGATGTTGTCCCGCCTTTCAGCAGTTTCTGAGGTGTCACGTACGACAGCAGGTATCCGTTTAAAATTCTCTCCAGCCAGGTCGGGAGCAATGGTCCCAGGCCAGAGCCAGATTTCTGGAGGAGGTTATCCTCACTGCCCATATCACAGACAATGCCCACTCATTTTCTCTCAGACTCAAGAGAAGAGGCTGTGGGTTTATAACCACAATGCACTCTGCTCAGTTAGATTTCCCATTGAGCTAGATGGGTGGAGTGGCTGCCTCTTATTCATAGCCTTTCTCATGTTTCTCAGCTATTACACGAATAAGGTTCTCAAAAGAAGCCACCTATATTTTGCTCACTCGCCCTCTCTGTGCATACAACTGGGAAATGGAGTAACAGGGAAAGGTTGTTTTTGCTACAAAGATGCAATAGATGATAACAGCAAATACTAACCAGTTCTGAGACTCACACATAGAGATCTCAAATGCAAGTTGTAAAAATTGTATTTTAAACACAGAAAAAGAGGAAGACTCCCTTATAAAAGTGACAGGTCATATTTGAGGGGAATACTTGGGTCGCCCGCATTTATTCTTTGCACCTCTGGGACAAAGCAGGGCTGCATTCAGAGACCTGAGAGATGAGTGGGCACACTAAGGGGATCAACAGGTATTTTAGATACAGTAAGAGGAACCACAGTTATGTAGAACTTTACATGTCATAAGCAAGTTCTTAAAATCAATTCTTGATTGAACAGGGAGTCAATGGAGGTGTGCCCACACAAGGCACAATTGTTCAAATGTCATGTTTTTTGCTACATTTCTGGCAACAACATTCTTTACAAGCTGTAGGCATTAAATGACTAGAGGTAACAAAGAAAAGGGAATTACAATAATCTAGTATGACAAAGGCAGGCATTATTCTCAGTGTTAGACAGAAAAAGAGTATGTCTGAGCTTGGCAGTGTCTCTTAGATAAATTAAAGATACCTTATGTCCTTTTTCACGCTGGCACACCAGAGATGTGCCTTCACAGTATAGCTTGTTTCAGACAGGTCTTCCGTTTAGCTGAGCCAGCTGAATCACAGCAGTGATTATGGGCTTTAGTTTTACAGCTTTGGAAGTAGAGAAAGGCAGTTGCCTTCAGTCTATGTGATGATGGGGTATTTTTCAAGTGTGGAGTGGGATCAGGAGAAGGTAAATACCACTGTGGTGCATTCTGCTATTTTCTGTGTACTACTAGATAATAGAGGTTATAAAGTAATAAAGAAAATGTTTGAAAATCACAGAACTTTAGCTTACAACTTATGAGTAGCTGCCCCTCCAAATGTTTTTCCAAACAATTTTCTTGAAGATACCCTAAAATGCTCAGCAAGATAGTTAATGTACTGAAACAACAGTTTAAATGCAAACCAATCACTGGGAAAACTTCACAAACAGACTAGGATCGTGTGCATAATATACTTATGTAACCCCTGACATTTTAATATACAATGTATGATGGTCCACTTTGCTGCAAATACGCAACATAAAGTAATTCGTACAAAGATGCTCACAAACTTGCTCTTGTTCACAGTTAACACCTACATATCTCAACCCAGCCTTCCGATTTGTGGGAAAACCACTGAACTAGTGATCAGATTTTGCATTTTTAAACTGATAAGGAGGTTTCAGTAGGATTGTTTTATTAACTTTAAAAACTGTTCTGACTTCCATTTATTAATGCCAGCCAGACAACCTGAAGGATATCCATTGCAAAGCTCTCCCTCGGTTTAAATGATAGATGAATGGATCCCTGTGGAACATCCCTGGTCATGTTAGATTAAAAGGAGGCATAATTTTATTTTTTTTATCTAACTGAATCCTATTTCAGAGATGGACTCAAAATGAGAATTAGCCTAAATATTTCAAGCGCTGAAAGTGAACCGAGTGAACTTGTCAAATCAGGGAATATGGATATGTGATTATCCTTATCTTAACTGACAAAGAGCAGCGTCATTGTGGTCAATAAGGAAGCTAGAATGAAATATTACAAACAAACTATGCATGGATTTTGAGATATTTGTTTAAATAATTAGATATCATCATCACTATAACTAGATAAAATCAAAATGGTGATATCAGGGCTAAAATGTTTTGAAGAATCTAACCCACTTTAGAACCTTAAGAGGGCCATTAATTATATTTAATTTTAGGGATTATTTCCTTCTGCAATACAGTTCAAAGAGTCTAATGTGGTTGATGTACTGTTTGTGACAACATGAATTACATCCAGCTCTTCTTGTCTTTGAAAAGGAAGTTTTTTAACTTAGTGGTACCTAGAATCCAATGGCATTGCTATTTCTTGACTCCTTGTCTTTAGGAGAGCTGTTGAGTCTGAATATCTGCAAGGACCTGATTTACTGCAGAGTTTGAGCTTATGGTTCATGGCTAAGAGAATAATGAAGATTTTACTACAAGGGGTTACCATGTCTCAGGAAATTAAAAGGAAATAGTTCAAGCTCTCTTTCTCTCCTTTTCTGTCTCTAATATAAATACAGAACTATCTCAATGATAACCTTGGTTTGAATCTGTGAGCCAGAAAAGTCAGACATACCAGGGCCAGCAATCAGTGACTGTTTGTTCTAGTTATGAAGCCTGGAGGAGTCATTTCATATCCTCCCATTGTACAACCACTGCAAAGTCTTTTTGTAGTTTATATCCTGTCCGCCATTACAGAATTTATGTTAAGTTTGATCTACCACCCCTGACAAATCACAAAATAATTAAACAATAGTCTTTTGTTTTCTAAAAGTTGAATTCGACACGCTGCCAGAGTCAGGAGAAAGAAGAGAAATACCCTTCCGCATGGGAACAAGCCACACCAAACTGTGGGAAAAAAAAAGTTACAACTTCATTGGAAGACTTGCAGAAAGCTGTATAAAATATCGCTGATGAAAGCAATGTTTCTTCCCCACACAGGCTGATTTAATTCGTGATCCAAAGGGAAGGTTTCTATGGAAGTACGCTTAGCAGGTGTTCACTCTTACTGGTAGTGCATTTTGAAATTCCACTCCTTAATCTCTGCCAAACCTGCCAGACCTCTACCATTGTTCAATTTGCTTTCCCCCCCCAGTTTGCTGTATTTAGAATAATTGACTGTCACATACTGATCACTACAACATAACCCCTTTCTGGGCCCCGCATAAAGACCGTACTGTTTTGTCCGGGGGAAAAGAAATCACACACTAGCTTTGAAGATTAGGCAGAGCAATCCGGTCCTGGCACTAACACTGTCGCACCATGGAGTCTGCAGTGCTGGCCAATCACACCTCCGCATACTAGGGGCTTCACAGCCCACTCCCACCCCTCTGGCGCTGCTTCTGAAGCGCTAGGAAAAGTCAAGGCTGGAAGTAACAGGAGCAGGGTTACCATGGAGTTCCCCACCAAAAAAACCCCAAGCACGCTTCAGTCGGGCTTTCCAGAGCTCAGGACAGTAGGCACACCGCCTGCTGTACGAGTCAAGTCAGATTTATTTTTAAAAGCTACTGGAAAACTAGACAAAGGGGCTGTCAAGGAAGTGCAGAGTAGCTTATCAGGTCAGAAAACTCACTAGGTTAAGCAAGTTTTTTGTTCTGCTTCTAAATAGGCATTACCTTCAATGCTTTGCTACTGTTTGAGCCTCAAAAAGTACAATTTATGTATATACACAGTGTTCGGCACTGCATACAAGTGGATTATATTAATGCTGTTAATATAAAATATAGACATATACGATACTGATGGCAAAAGCTAGCAGGATTTGCCTAAATGTCTCCCATTACCTGAGGTCTGGACATACCAATGCAACAAGTTCAATAAAGGCCAGACCAGGCAGCTTGTCAGATGTCACTCCCATGTTAAAGATTGCCAATCCACAGTGCTCTGTGACTCACAGTACTTCTGCTGTGTCCTTCTAGCCCGTGCAAATTGACTTTCATTCCCTTGCTTCTAATTAGATATCCCCTTGCCCTGTCAGCCCCTGTAACTTGGCAGATAGCAGAAGCCAGTGAAGCCAACTATACAGTACATGCCCCCTCTGCAAAGGTATCAGCAGCACCTGCTGAATGCCCAGCTCTTCCCTCTTGATTAAGATAAGATCACCTTATTGGCTATATACAATTTCTTGTATTAGGAAATTTGTCTTTTTTCGCATACCCCAACTTGCTCTCCATGAGTCACACAGACGGGGAGAGAAGGGAGAGTCGGAGCGCAGGGTCAGCCATTTTACACAGATTACACTGTGAGCCCAATAAAAAGCCTACAATTCGTGCATCACACTGGTTTTTAAAAAGCTGGCTGTTTAAATACAAGCAGCAAATGACAAAAGACTCTTTGTGCTCTCACCCAGCCTCAACATCTCATCCCTTGTCCCTGGAAACAATACACTGTAACTTACCTGTCTCTCTCTGGACACAGTTAAATAATTCAGTTTGTTCCTGCAGAAAGACCTGTGTAATCTCTCTCTGCAGCATGGTAGAAGCAAGCAGAATTTAGGCCTTTACTGTCTGCAGATTTGAACTAGGCTGTTGTGAAATGGATGTTGATACTCCCAGCCAAAAGCTAAATGTCATCTATCCCTCAACCTTTAGCACAGACTCAAAACCCAAAGCATAATGTTTTTGTACAGCTTTTACAGAGCGATGTCAGATAATCCAAGAATAAAGACACTAAACGCTTGTAGAAGTCATACAAACAACACAGGCAGAGTGGACAAGAGTCATGAATAGTGTTACAGGAAGTAATACCACGTACCTACAAAAGAAATCTGTGGGATCATCAAGTACGATTACGCGTCTCCCTACCTGTTATTTTATGAGCAGTATATAAAAAGATATAATATCAGAATAATCAAAATTAAAATATGAAATACATTCATGCTAAAGAAATCAGTTCAGGCTTTTAGTTACGTTCACCTTTAAATGAAAGATCCATTACCCTTGACTATTTTTCACGACCTAACGTAAAAAATAAATCTTGTTTTGTATAGTAGGTCAACTTCGCCTTAGCTGTGTTACCAAGCTTCAGATGATCTATTTCTGTTTTTTTTTTAATGTGCAAAATAATCTAATCTTAAAGTACTTAAATTGATGACTTCGTCACAGAACATACAATGTAACAAGAGGCAAAAGCGTGTTTTAATACAGATGTAAACCCACCCCTCCAAACAACACCGCAACACACAGGTTGTAACCTACCTATTCAAATATATTCCTCCTGTTGCGGTTTACAGTCTCCTAACAGGAATAAGCGGATCCTTATTATGAGACACGACCGGTTCCTGAAATGAGCGTAATTGAAATGTTATCTGGGAATATTGCGAGGAAACTTATCGGTGCATACATTTGCTTATCTTGAGTTAGCGTCACGATTTTGCAGTTTCTGGCACTCCGCTACAGGAACACAAATCGCAGTGCTTTTTATGTGAGTTGATAAAACAACAACTAGCAACGCCAAAACTCACAATCCACCCACCTGTACGAACTACTGCGGAATAAAGAGTCTCTCCCCTTTCTTTTTTCTTGCTTTCAAGGTTCCAGCTGGATTTTAACTATGATGTTTCATTTTCTGCGATCCATGGTTTTGTCAAGACGTTTCCAAAACCCTCTTCTTTATTTAAAAGCGTGGATATTATTCCTAACTCGTAATTTTCCTCCCTGCTTTGAGACGGACAGGTGACTGCTGCCTTCTTGGTCGGGGCTGTTTCTTTGTTAAAGCGCCCGCAAATTAACGAGAAACTACGGCCCCTAGGCTGACACGGTTAATGACTTTACAACAAAGACCGAAACTCCAGCCTCCCAGCTAGGAGCACTTGTTGCGCTCTGCAGTCAGAGCTATTTGCTGGCCAGCACACAAACCCAGCCTCCTGGCGGTCGGTCCAGTGCGTGTAACAGAACAGCGCAGGTTGTAGCCTTAGTTACTCATTTTCTAAAATTGCCATTTCTGATTTTCAAGTGCCGTCATTTCACCGCTATGCTAGAGAGCTTCTGTAACGTATTAAAAGCAACCGCAGGCTTTTCGTAAGTAAGCACCTGCCTGTACAGGTGGGCATAACGAGAGATATTTTTCATTGGCCAACCTTTTTCACAATTATCATACAGCAACGTCAAAAGCAAACAAAAATAAAATGGCTGGCAGTAACGTGAATATCCCTCTCCTGTGTTTTAAAAGCGGAATGTGTGTCACTGTACTTTCTTGAACACGAAAGCAGTCATTTGCGGCACACCTTTCCCTTTCTTCCCCCAATAACGGAATGGTGGCGTTTTAATAAAAATATAATCAGGGGGAAGAAAAAGAACATGTGTGATTTAAACGTACTGCATTCGGACATAAATAGTGGAACCGTGTTAAAAAGAAAAATATATGTGGACATGAGAAAGCTAAAAGAAAACTACAGAAATTAGGTGTGAAAACAACCAGCCAGTAAAATACTAGAGAAACCGGGTTCAACATTAGCGCAGATCAAGTGAAATTCTTCATAACCTGCTTTGTTTTACTAAACCCTGTATTACATCACAGTGAGTCGATTATGTTAATTACTTTTTTGGAAGATGGACAAAACACGCACGTTCCAAGTATGAAGAATTTAATTATATACAAATACAGTTACAAAGATACATATACAAAATATTTTTTTGAACTTCGACAAGCCATACAAAGCATTAAAATCGATTCTTATCTGGAGTAGAGGCTGGCCTCTTGCATTAAGGGAACAAACCGTAATCTCTCTCTCAAAGCTCAGGGGTAGAATTATATCTTTCCAAGTTCAGGTTCCAGATTATATTTACAGTGTTCTTTTGTTAAAAATGTCAACATTTATATTGACATACTTTTATCTTTTAAAAATGATTCCAATACCTTCCATTCCAGAACTATGATACAACCAGCTCAATAATAGCTACATTGAGCTCCACTTTTGACTAAATGAAATTGTAAACAGTATCTAGAAAGCCCCCAAATACCTGTACATTGCCCACTCCTGTGTTTGAGGGCTGTTCTAATTATTTTAAGTGTATTGTGTATGTCTAAAAAAACATAACTAGTTATTGTAAAATGTCCCAGTGAATTGCTGATTGAAATGTACTTGTGAAACCAACAGGAATCAGGGCCATAGAGAGCTGTTTGGAGTGCCTCACTTTCTAAAACTGGGAATACCAGCTCTAGTGTTCCCCTGTCTCATCTATACAGTGCTGTATTCAAAAACCAGAGAGGCAGACAGGACTACACACATCCCCTTCAACACAAAATTATACACATCTTTTTCTTTCTTGTGATAAAGCCCTGGAGCAAGGAAAGATCAAGATGATTATTTTCTTATTCCAACTTTAAAAAAAAAAAAACATTCACAGGGCTGAATATGGGCCTCTTGATTCTCCCTCATTAAAGATCCACTTCTGAAAGCAGATCGAAGAAACAAGTTCATAACTTGTTACACCTAACTAATAAAATACTGGACAAGGAAAGGCTTTCAGGCTATGTTGTCTTCAAAGCAGCTAGAGCTCTGAAGCGACTTCTATTTTTACTTTTCAGTCAAAGTCAGCCACCATGGGCAGCGGTTTCAACCTGGGGCTCAGCAGCCCATTATAATTGCCCCTGAGGAGTGAAACAGGAGTATATACAGTATGTGTCTTACAACGAACATAAAATATTTGCACAGGACTGTGATTTGTGTGTAAGTGCATACAAGCATTGACATGCCCACAATGCACATCGTACACATTCCTTTAGTTTAAGGTGCTCATTGTGGCCAGTTTCATTACCATCTTTGACAAACTGTAAGCAGACAAAATCATGGACATCTTTCCCCCTCCAAAATAACTATATACATCAATGTAATTATGTGTGAAAACAGTGATTACAAGTGTTTAACTGTATCTCCAGTAAAGACGTAACAACATCCGCCTAATACCTTATACCTCAGGCAAATTTGATTGACAGCCTAAAATATTGTTCCTTGTTAATTTTCATGTAGAACAAATTGGATTTTGACTGTAGCACACCACCCCACACCAATCATCATGTATTAGATCAAAGAAAGCAGTTGGGGGCAGAACTATCTCCACTTTATCATACCTGGACATATACTTGAAAAAAGCTGTAGAGGTGTCATATTACATATGGAACTGGCTTGAAAAAGATCCCATGTGCTTTAACATGGACACAGTGCTGCACAAAGGTTTATAGATATCCTGCACTGTTCCACTGTTTTCTCTCAGTGTTTTTTCTTCTTAACACAGAAACACTGCTCTATGGCATCTCTATTGAAATATGATCATTCTGTTTTTAGAATAACAGCCAATCCAGACAGTTTTGTATTTTGTTGTACAAAAACTCGCTTTTTTTTAGCTTCATGAGTGTGTATACAGGATGTTAATGATTGGAACACTCAATTACATTAGGTTTGACTGGTAAATGTGATGGGATTGGTTATTATAACATTTTATATTGAATTTATGTTGTTTTGATCAGGTGTTTGGAGATTATCGACGTGAACTGAAGATGGCTAAATAAGATTTGATGAAGATCCTAAAATACATCATTTGTAACTCTGTACTGTGTCTAACACTTCTGTACAGCAGTGGGGATCTCTCTTTAAGCCTGGATCTCTGTGTACTGGTATATGTCTGTCTTGAGGCTGGTAGGATTTTCTCAGTCTGAACTAATCAGAAACTTATTTCAAATCCGGCCCCCTGCAGTTTTCTGGTCAAACTCCTGGATCCTGCCCTTGATGTGGCTCAGCTTTGCCTTCAGGTAGTTACAGCGCTCCTGCTTCTCCAGGAAGGTGGGGTCCTGCAGATGGACAATGGACAGGTGGAGGGATGACACTGGACAGAGTTTAAAATATCTCGCTGCACCCAAGATGTTGTTTTGGCAGCGGGTCTTGAAAAGCCACAATCCAGCTTTATAGGCTACCCTTCCAGTGACCCCTTCTCTAACTGCTTAATCCAGCCCAGGGTTGAGGGGGTGCTGGACCCATCCCAGCAAGCAATGGGCACAAGGGTGGATCCACTCAGGATGGGACTCCAGTCCATCACAGGATAGACACAGACGCACACACTCACACCAGGGCCAATTTTCCCAGAAGACAATTCACTTACCAGTATGTCTTTAGACAGTGGGAGGGAACACAGGGGGAATATACAAACTCCACACAGATAGCACCCCAGGTCTGGAACTAAACCCCAGGCCCTGTCTGTGAGACAGCAATGCTAACCCTTGCCACACCATAGTGCGTAGCCAACAATCAACTTCAGAAAGCCTAGATGTTTAGAACAATCCCATCTGGCTACTAAAGTAGCTGCTTTTTAACATGAAGAGGTTTAGAGATCATTAGAAATAAACTAACTTCGGCAGAAAGCAATGTGGGATGAATAAAAAATGGTTTCTCTTGCAGACATTGATCCATTATTATAATTATTATTGGAAACTAGCTATAATCTTGTTTCAGGAGAGAGTTAAATATACAGATAGCTCATCCCACATTGTTGGACCAAACCTGATCAAAGAAATAAACACCAGTGTCCTTGAGAAGAACTTACATTCTTCTTCAGCCTGTACTTTACCAGCACGCCTTGAATTCTCTGGTGCACCTGCAGAGCGGACAGAAAAGAATCAGTGAAGCAATTAGAATGATCCCTCATTAACACACAGTTTCACTCCTGGACAGAACAGCCTTGAAAGAATTTGGCTGGACTGAACAGCTGGAAGATCTTACTGCATCGGGTTCCTTATCTTTGCTAAGTATGATTAAATTCAGCATTTTTTGTTTTTTAGTTCCTATTTTCAACATTCTTGGTTGTCCAAACTCGTCAACAGCAAAACCACGGGAACCGTTCCAGCCACTTTCTTGGCGATGTCAGAGGCTAAAAGTCGACAGAAACCAACAGAGAAGTGGAAACGTTTCAGTCTTGAGGCGATTGCCCTCAGAGTTCTGTCGAGAGTGATGGTGAAAACATGGGACTGATATGAACTCAACACACATGCCCTTTAAAACCTGGGAGAAATCTTTGCCTATGCTGACCACAGTGCTCCACTTGTGCTCTGAGGGAGCACCTTGGCCACTTTTGCAGCACAGGAGTCCAGCAAACTTAATATGGACCTCAATTCCTTGCACTTGATGTGCTTTGGAAAAGGGTTCCCCTTATCTGCAAGTGTTGCCCTGTCTCTTACCTCAGGGTTGTCATCATTGGTCAGCAGTTTCCTCATCATGGAGTCCAGCTCCCTGAATTTCTTCATGGTAGCCTGGATCTCACTGTGCAGTTCCTTGTACTCTGGATACTGGTCATTAAAGACAGCCTTGTACTGCTCTCTGTCCTCAAAGGTGCGTATGTCAGGGTATTTCCTTTGGGACAGACACACAGGATATAGACACAGAGGTCACTGGGAGGCAATGAGACAGCTGGTATTCTAAAAAGGTTAGGAAGGAGTGACAGACATGAAATTATTCTGTTCTTGCAGTACAATGTTGATAACACAGAATGGGATAAATGTAGAGCATGTTAAGTAGATCCTTCAGCATGTAATTCTAAAGACAAACCATATATTTTTTCTAATGCACCTCTGCATCTAACTCCTCCAGTCTGGCCTCGGCTGACTGAAGACTCTGCACTCACATGATGTAATCAGGGATGATGCGTGGTTTGGGGACATATCCTGAAGGTATAGCCCTGTTGAGGGTGCCAGGATCATCTCCAGACTCGGAGAACTGAATCCTCTTGGTGGTCCTCATTGAATGGTTCACTTCATCCTCAAACATGATCTTCTTGGTTTTTGTCGTGACTGTGCTGGCAGAAGCGGACAGCTGGGGACAGAGAGTAGAGGCTGCATCTTTTAAACGGTCTGATCCCGATTCCAGCAATATACATACACATACACCCACGTAAGACAAACATATATTAGTTTAGATTAATTTGCATGTCTGTGGTTATAATGTGTCTGATTTTAACAAACACAGGAAATTCTAAAAAAGCCAAATAATGCAGTTCCATGGCAAAGACACCCTTGCCACTTTGTGTACATCAATAATATATAATATATAAAAATACAGGAGAGGCATGGTAGTGCAGTGGTCTGCATTGCTGCCTTGCAGCACTGGGGCCCTGGGGTCAATTACAGACCTGGGGTGCTGTCTGTCAGGAGATTGTACTCTATGTGTCAGTGTGGGTTTCCTCCCACAGTCTAAAGACATACTGGAGGGTTCTGGGAAAAATGGCTTCTGGGAAAGTCGGCCCCGATGTACTGGTGTGAGCGTACGTGTGTGTTCATTTCTGTGTGCCCGCTCTGCCACGGCCTGGCCTCCTCTTTGGGCAGTGTCCTGCCTTGCACCCATTGCTTGCTGGGATACGCTCCAGCAACCCTGCGCCCTTGAATTGGATGAAGTTGTCAGAAACTGGATGGATGGGTACATAAATATATAAAAAAGCCATTGTTAAACAAAGATACTCCTCGTGTGAATAACAGCTGACGGTAAAAACTTTGCTACGTGATAACAGAAGCCCTGGAATCCGCCAAGCGCCTCCTTCCACAAATTAGGATTGTTTTTTTCTAGTACGTTAAGCCAAAGACATGATGTATCAGATCATTTAAAACGACTTTCGTCTAACATCCTAATTAATTTCTAGACTCTCCAATGCCAGGTGTTTGCTGCAGGAGAAGCAGTCGGATATGTTCCACTGCTATGCGGTAATAGCCTATGTCGATATGAAGTCTTCCATGCCAGCTCTTTTATTTACACACCTCAGTGTTTCCTCTGTGCTGCTCTGCCATGTAATTGTGAACACAGGATTCCCTGACCATCACCCACTGCTCTGTCAAGTATCTGTTTCTGCTTCTGGATATCTGAAATTCATTATTTTAAGTCCCTGGTGTATTAGTTGGAGCCATTTTTTGTTTGTTTCAATAATTACTTTTTCCTCCCTTCTTGGTTGGACAATTTATTGCTTTCCACAAGAGGACAGGACTCTGGACTAGAAGGAGGGAAACATAGGACTTGGTAAAAGAAAAATAGCGACTGAAATACTGGCAGTGCTGTGACGACAGAGCAGTAAAATTGTAAAAAAAGAGTAAAATTGATCTCACCTCTCAGAGAACTGAGTTGTTTAAGAATTGCTGAAATCTGAATGCTTAATTGTATATGTAACCATAAAACATTGGTTCTTAATGTCAACATTCCCTTCTGGCATGACCTTGACCTTATTTTAATAATGAATCTTGAGGGCGAAAAAATGTTTAATTTACAGTAGCAGTAGAATAAAACCCATCCTCTGATTCACAACACCATGTGCAATGTTCCACAGCCTGCAGTCTGTTAGTAACACTTTTCTCTATTTGTCTTCTCACTCCTATGCCATCTTGACTAAAGAATTAGAATACAACATGGTCTTCAGCTAAACAAATTATACTGAACTTAAAATGCAAATCCTAAGGTCATTTACTTACCTGAAGATAAAAACTGTTTACAGTGCCTATTAGGGTTGGAAAAGTTTAATCTTGTGCTCTATAGGACCCCAGTGAAACTACAAGCACAGCTGCACCAGTCACTGGTTTGCAAACAAGGACTTGTTTGAATGTCATGAAGGCAGCTGACAACAGTAACTGTTTATTTTTCATCATATCACTTTCAATAACAGCTTTATCCAATTCAGGGTCATGGTGGCCCAGAGCCTATCCCAGGAGGCTTTGGGTACAACGCAGGATAAACCATGTGTGGGACACCAGACCACCTCAGGGCAGACCCACCAGGGCCAGTTTTACAGAAGATAATTAACCTACCAGTATGTTTTGGGACTGTAGGAGGGAACTGGAGCAGCTGGAGGAAACCCACATGAACGTGAGGAGAACAAACAAACTCCATGCAGAAAGCACCCAAGGACTGAACCCAGAGCTAAGCCCAGCTATAAGGCAGCAACGCTAACCACTGCGTCATAGTGCCGCCCGCTGTTTATTTTTGGCCTTGAAATCTTTGCCAATGGAACTTTTGTTGTGAGCCCTTTTGTTAAAAGTAGCTATAGTACCCTTACTTTTGGAGAAAAGGCCTAAATTTGAGAGCACAACTCTAAAGTGAGTGTGCCTGAAAACCTTGGCAAGCCATGAGCACAAATCTAAGACTGACATTTTATAACACTGCATGGAAATTAAGGCAAAGGCCTTTTGTTTTGTTTTTTGTTAAGGTCTTCTGGTTTATGCTGATGAAAGAAAATGATGTTTACTTCCTTTGCCCCAACCATTGTCCAAATTAATTCAGTACAAGATAGAAAGCTTTTGAAGCACATCAATAATGGCCAGAGAAGATGGGGAATCCCCAAGCACCACCCACCTGCCTTTCTGAGGCCTCCCTCTCCCTCCGGGTAACTTCATGGCGCCACATCTTGAGGCAGACCAGGAAGGCGACGAGGTACATCAGCATGTTGATGAAGATGAAGGCAGTGGCGGCCATCTGGCCTCCTTCCACCCGGCACAGACTGGACATCATGGGGTTGATGCCGATAGTCATGTAGCACAGCCCTCCTCGGTTCAGGTCATTGACGTACACGATTCCCGCCGCCATGTACAGAAGGAACATGGCGACATTGATGAAAGACTCGGTCAGCGGCCACCAGTGAGAATCCAGGAGAATGGTCCGGTAGTACATGGTCAGCCCCAGGACCAGCAGGATGACCGTCATGATCCAGGCCAGACCAGCCACTGCCAGAACAAAGGGGGTCATGGGTCCATTATAATAGTAACTTGTTCCCCCACTGTATATACCCCCGAATCCAAAGCTGGGGCGCTGATAGCTGTAAAGGTTGTACCACTCGTTGTCTTTCTGGATGTAGGCACACACACAGGCGAACACCATCCCCCCGAAGAGGAGCTGGAGGCCAGCGAGCAGCCTTAGCAAGCCAGGCCAAGACTTCATGTAGGAGTACTTCTTCTGGTACACCTCGAGCTTCTCGGCGTAGTACTCCGCAGGGTGGATGCTCGCTCGGTCCGACGCTTCGGAAGGATCTTGGAAGGGCGGGCTGGAGTATGCCGTGCTGCTGTCCGTGAAGGGGGGCTTGTGTGAGCTCCCGCTCGATCTCAAAGAGTCCTCTGGCTCTCCGTACCTCCGGCTTAGGAGGGGGCTCAGGGGTGGGCTGACTCGTGTTCCATCAGGGAGGAAGTTCTCCTCCAGCGAATCATGATCAGGTCTGTCACCCTTCTTCCATTTCTTGAAGAAGTTGCCCCATGATTTGGGGATGAGATTTCTCTTCTTTAGGGGCTTCTTTTCTTCCTGATCCCCTGGGTTGGCTACCTCCCCGACTGGTGGAGTACTGGGGAGAGGGGGGCCCTCACTGGAGTCATCAAACTCATCATCGTCCTGGACCCTCTGTGAAGAATGTTCTGACAGTCTGCTGGGCAGAATCTGTCTTTGCAGAGGAAGAGTTTCATCTAGATCTCCAAGAACGTCAACCAGTGGTCTTCTATTCTCAGTCCTGCTCTTGGAATAATACAATCCGTCTACAGAGGTCATAATATGATTGTGTTCCCCTCAAAGAATGAAGCAGAAAGTCATACATCTAGCAATTTACAGAGCGGTGAGGAACCCATGATAAAGAGATCTTTGAAGGTATTTGTAGATCATCCTAATTCAGTTCGCAGAAACAATGTCTCTGTCTTTAGCTCTTGGGCCCACACTGAAAAACAACATGAGGAATATTATTTGAATATGTTTTCTTGTATTTTGCAATTTTACACTTTACAACCATCAGTTCATGGCAAAAAATAGCTCTCAATAAAACATGTCAATATTTTAAAAGTCCAACATGATTTTATAAGGAAGACAAGAAGTAGGCGAACTACAGTATATGAGACACCCATTATTATTAATCCACCATCCATTTTCTAACCAATTCAGGGTTGCTGGGGGAACTGCAGCCTATCCCAGCAAGCAGTGGGTGCAAGGCAGGATACTCCCTGGACAGGATGATGGTCCATACAGATGTAAACATGCACACACTCACATCTCAGGACAGTTTTCACCGAAGTCAATTAACCTACCTGTACTGTTTATTTTTGGACATTTAGCGGAAACTTACATGAGCACAGGGAGAACATACAAACTTCATACAGATAGAACCCGGGTATAGAATTAAACCCAGAGCCTTAGAGCTGAGAATCAGCTGGTTACCGCTGTGAATTGATATTAATATTGGTTTTATTATTTTACTATATATTCTTGTTTTATTTATTTTTATGTAGTTCTGCTCAAATTCTGGATGTAAAAGTAAAGCTGTATCAAAGCCACCCAGAAATTACAAAACAACGAATTCTTCACAGATACCGCAGCGACAAAGGTTTGACGAGCTGAGAGCCAGTCTGGCTCAAAATGCTAGGAATCAACACTAACAACATGGCAAGTGTGCTGTTACCCAGTTACCCAGATAAGAAATATTTCTATTAATTCTTACTTCTATTTACAGTGGAACCTATTACAAGAACTGCAAAACCTTTTTTTCTCCCCGGTTTACATTCCTGCTTAATGCGGAAGAAACGAGAGCTTTTACCGAAGTCTGTAAGAACGGCCAGGAACAAACAGAGGAAAAAATCCACAGCGCACATGCTTAAAAATCAGCACTCTTGGTTTTACGAAAAGAAACAAGCCTCCTTTCTCCTGCAGTGAGTTAATAGCAGCAACAAAGTGGCTCAGATTTAATAAATAAATAGGATTATGTACTTTACCTTACTGTTGCGGCCGAACAGGACCCTCAGACTGCTATCTGACTGGCAGTGGGCAGTGTGAAAATGGCCTCTCCCTAACAGGCCCCAGCTGCCTCTTCAGGTGACTCAGGGGCCTTATCACGGGGAGCTGAAAAAGAACTTGCAGTTTAAACATTAAACCCTGTACACTCTACCAGTCACACACACACACACACACACACACGCACATCAGGCTGGAGCAGAACAGCTCAGTTTGGCACTTGGCAGCTAAGATCCTGTACAGCTTGCATGCACAAGAACTCATCTATTCCTTTTCCACCACGTTATCTATCTGTTATAAGAGAAAAGGAATGATGTTCATGGTAGATTGTATTATTTAACAGGTGGCCTTGCATCGGACAGAGAAGAGCTGGACACAGGTATGGGAGATTCCCGAGTTCCTGATCAACCATTGAAATGGACACTGACAAAGCACATGACTAAACAGCAACGTCTCATTGATGAAACTATATAGACTACAGGTTTGGCAAAGCCTTATTGAGAACCCTATTATTTCTTCACTGGGAAAATAAGGTGATTATAAAGTGTGCTGGCTTGTCTAGGCAAGCCCATTGTTAAAGCTGGGAACTGTGGGGGGCACACACAGAAATGGCACGATGGAACATGCTTTCATGGTGGATGGTACAGTTGTACCCCTCTTGGCTGGCACAGGACCTGGTACAGAGTACCGTGAACCTCTTCAGCATCCAGTGCAATTGTGATACTTTTTGTACTTCCTTGCAAGTGTATCAGATTTGTTCCTTCATTTGTTGCCCAGTGTACCACTGGTCTACTATAATTTGAATAGCACAGGCTGTTTTTTTTTTGTCTCTCGACACTGTCTTTGTCTTTCACACGATGACCATGATCATGATGATCAGTCTCATGATGGGTTAGAATGTTAGAAGAATGTAATTGTATTTTTTCTTGCTTGAATTATTTTCCTGGTTATATTTACATAATGCATATTTAGCAAGACTGTAAAAACTTTAAAAACATACCAGACAGACAAGTATTATAACACAGAGAAGGACATAACAGGCAAAGACTAAAGTCTTGACAGGACGAACGTAAAAGGCTTTAAAAGGAAAAACCGGAACTCATTTTACGTACAATAAGATTTCTAAAGAGAAAACATTTTCTCCATCTGGTCAGGAGAGGGCAGTAGCCACCCGTGTTAATTAGACTAGGGAGTGCACAGCTTGTTTCTGTACAGAGCATTTCAGCACAGTCATCTTATTCCATCCAGCACAGTAATGTGTGAAACAACTGCTTGTATTTGCTTTGCTCTAATTTTCAAAAAGATCACCTAAGAAAACAGTTGGATCTTATTCTACCTTCATATGGGTTATTTCTTCTGACACAGGCAAAGTAATCTTTGTAAACATGAAGAATTGTAGTTTTAAGAAATATGTATTATTTTATGCTTTTCCTGTACACCCCCAATAGTTTGACATGCATATTGTTATTATCAATATGGATGGACATATTAAATTGTTTTATGAGATTGCAGTAAAATGTTTAAGAGTGCAATCCTTTCAGACACATTGTCATTAATTGTCCTACTTCAGCGAAATATTCTATAATCTATCCAAGTCTGTTTTGTATTCATGCATTGTGAAATGCATTTGAATGCTATCTTACACTGACACCAACAGAGTTTGGGTCAATTTTGAACTGAGCTGAAACAGCCATGTTGGGTTAATCTGACAAACCAAAAGGCACCATGAATCCAACATCTGCCTCAGGCTTTCTTGTTAAAGTAGCCACCCCAAGTCAACACACCAGGTTACCAGAACAATCAAAACCATTTAGAAATATGATAATAAAATGGACCCACGTGCTCTTATGTACAAAAAGAAAAATGTTCACACATTTTCCTCTGAAAACAAGGCCCAGCAGAGTATATAAAATCCTTCACTGCACTCCAAGCTCCCTGCTGTCTGGAGTTCCTTCTGTGCCAGGTGTCTCAGTCACGACATGGCTCTGTCCATCCTGAGACAGCTCCTCTCTCTCCCAGTCCCTGATGCTCAATGAACAGCAGTGCAGCTCTGTAAGGCTGCCACCTTCCCTTTACTGGCAGCCCCAAAGCTGTTGGTGCATTCTGACACACATTCCAATTCAGCTAATGAATCTAGGGCTGAGTGTGTCAGGAAACTCTCAGTCAGAATAATTATTTTCTTGTGCTAGCTTTTACAATCTAAGGAATAACCTAGGAGACTAGTAGCTACTGTATAGATGGTATTCACTGTCTTTCTTTGAGTCCAAACTAACCTGTTTTTCCCCCAGTTTGCTTTAGCCAGATGTTGAAATTCATCTGGGACTATTCTGATCATTCTTCTACAGCCAATTTTTTTTTCCTGAGATCTGTAAAGCAAACCCGAAAATCCACTGTAGATGGAGTCACTATCGAGAATTATTTGGCTTCTGCATTATCGCTCTTGATTTGAATTCTGCACATCCTGCATTATGCAGTATTTTTTTTACTGCTAATACCATATTCTCTAGACAAGGATGTTCATGAATCAACATGAGACTCTAAGCAGGCCCTTCTGATAAAATGCTTCTATTAAAATAATACCTGTAATAATTTATATATGTGATGCAGTTAGCATTTAGAAAAAGAAACATCACTAACATCAAAGCTGAAACATGATAAAAGCTACCTTGGAAAATCAGAAACACAAGATCCAGGAATTTTCACCAAGTAGTTAGGCTTAGTACAATATAAAATAAAAATGGACAGGAAGTATTAAACTCTTCCACTGCAGGCAAGTCCGTTTAAAGAGTGTCTGCCAGTTTCTGAGCAGACAGGCTGCCTCATACACATCTGAAGAGCCTCCCAGGTAGAAGACCTCCAGCTGTTTTTCTCCAAGGGCTGGAGGATTGTGATTCCGGAAAACAGGACACCTGTCTCGAAACGATCAGGGTTACTCGAGCGGTCTCACAATGGCACCACGTCAGCTGATGAGGACACTCATCTGGAATGTTTAGTTCCATTTCCATCACCCTCTCGAGGCAAGCGAGCGATTGATTTTCAGAGGAAGCCTTAAAAGGCTTTGCCTGGAGACTCATCAGCCTCCGTGACAGGAATCAAAAAGGGAGAGCAGGACGCTCTGTCAGGTAACAGCCCCTAGATGGGTTAACATTTCCATCTTCAAACCCACGCTCTGAATGTTATCGTGATTTTCTGCATGCTTGTTTATTGGGGTGGCACAGTTGCGCACTGGTTAGCATTGTGACCTCTCAGCGCTGGGGCCCCGGGTTCAATTCCTAGAGTGCCATCTGTGTGGAGTTTGTATGTTGATCTGTGTTTGCATGGGTCACCGCCAGGTGGTACCAGCCAGAAGGTGCTCGGTTCAGAAAGCAACAACCTTTATAAACCGAAACACACCTAGCTCCTAACAGCAACCATGAGAAAACATAAGCAACAAAGATGTGGTTACAGGCTCTGGAGATCTCTCATCACCAGAGGAAGGGGGGAGGGAGAGAACTGGACCCAGAGTTGAAGCCTGAAGGAGGTGTATCACTCTTCACAGTACAAAGATGCCAGCTGAGGCTCTCCAATTACAATAATTGATGCAGTCACACATTTAGACATTTTCTGTCCACGGTATTGAGCCAATAGCAAATTGATAGGAGGACTCAAAAACTCCTTTCTTCAGCATTTCGCTGCCAGCTACTATTCCTGCTGCATTCTAATGATAGTTGTAAAAAAATAATTAAATCTGTCTTGAACGCACCAGGAGGAAAGCAGCAGAGATGCAAGCTTGCAGAGGTATACTAAATGCAAATTGCCCAGGGGAACAGTCATATAGCACTCTTATATAATTTATTTCAGATCTAAGTGGTATGAACTATAAAATTTAAATATGTCATTGATCATTGATATGATTATAATCATACTTACATACACGTACAAGTATGCATATGGTAGATGTAATTCATGAAAGCATTTCAAATAGAACTCACATTTTCATTTTTATCCATTCTCTGTTGGCTCAATCTAAGTGTACGCCATCATTGAACCGAGACAAATGTATGAAATGTCTTCGTGCCTTTTAAGGTTAAGTGACCTTTTTGTTAAGTTAAAAACAAATAGGCTACAAGACACACTGCTCAGCAGCTCAGGGCGTAAGCATACATGTACGAGACCAGTGACTAGCGGGTAAAACTCTCAAAACAATTACATTTTGCTGTCGTCACAGCGACGCAGAACAGCTTATTTAAGGTGCGGAAGAGAGGATGACTTTTTCCCAGAAACGGAATGAAGCTATTCATCAGTACCGTGCATACTCTCTTATCTGCTCCTCAATGGCTTATTTTGAATAGAAACGTGGAGATAAAGAGCAATCAATGAGGAGACTGACACCTGAATGCGACTGAGCAGCCGAAACGCTGCGTTTCTTCCTCCGACTTTTGAACGCGGATTTAAACTTCACGTGTACCTTTGCAGCCCGGCCGCCGTGACGCAGCTCCCCCGCTCACGTAAATGGTTAAATCTGTGCTGCGCCAGAAGAGGGCCAGCTCTGGCCGTCTCATGGTGAGCTGCAGACCGGGAGGCCAATCGGGTTCCGAGGTGTGGTGATGGCCAAGTACGTCGTTAGGAGGTTAATTGATCGAAAAATGTTGAACGCCTTTGCAGGACACTTGGCTAAATGAACGCTGTCGGACTTTTAGCCCGTTTTTTTCAACAGTCATCAACATCCATTCCCTTAATCGCCCGCTTTGCCCGTATTTTGCTCTGATTTTCAAAGTACCGCCTTTTAAGACCGTTGAATTCTGATTTGCATACTTGCGTCGGGGATGGTTGGCAATGAATCGGGTGTGGGCATCGAGAAAGGCCAGTCCGTGTTAATTTCAATCAATCAA